ATACGAAGTTATACGAATAATTAGTGAATCACTGTTGGGTATTTTTTGAATTCAAATTTTTCTTTTTTATGTGGAGTCTTTGCTCATCCAAACATACATCTCTGTCATCTACAATGTATTGCCTAAACAAGGAAATTTAGTTGCTGTCTTATCTCTAGAATTCCAGGAGCTATTGATCGAAGAAAGATCGGAAGTCGAGTTTGAGGTCATGTCACTTAGCGTAAAGTTTCTTCCTGGAGAAGAGCGCTAGAGGTCAGACTAAGTTGGTCTCATTGTTGGACGCGAGGATTAGAGGCCACACATAGGAGGTAAGAAGCGCTAGCTGGAACGGTGTGATAACCGGGTGGACTTTAGCCTTGGGAGAGTCTTTAAATTTTATGAATATTCTCCGCAAGGTGGGTCGAACGACCTCAGGAAAAAGCAGACTTTGTCTTGCTTTACTTTCAAATTGAACGCGTCGCCATTACGCTGTAGATGTGATCTTCTTCAGTGACTCTAGTATTACTGGGCGGCGGTTCCCAGCGTAAGGTCACTCTCGTGCTCATACAATATCTCGGAAGGGTCGGACTCAAAGGGGGTTCGGCTTTTGCTGTCAGAACTCCCGAACCCTTCATGCTAAGCTGCTGCTTGTTGGAGATTTGCTAGTACACCCAGTCCAGAACCCTGATGCATATGCCGGATGATCACTGTAAGGAACTAAGAGAGATCAGAAGGAACATGATGATGTCAGATCGTGTGTGGAGCTGTTTCGGGCTCACAGCATACAAGATACAAACTAAATATTTTAAAATCTTTACAACTCTACGTAGATGTCTACATTCCATCATTTTAACAAGCCGGACATGCTCTAGCAAATGGCGACAAGTTTGTCCAGATCCACCCTCAGTGGCGCTGGGTACAGCAGTGAGATTGCCACTTGAGGGGTAGTTGGAGTGTGGGTCATCTTCAACTCAAAAAGCCAACCTCTCGATAGAGTGAATTACAAGCAGACCGCGGATTGAGGGAGCGTGCCCTCGCCTATCCGCTGGTTGATTCTCTATGTTGTTGGGCGTTTGAAAGATCCTAATCAGAAGTGATTAAGAAGGGAGCTCAAAAATAGGTTCCAGGCAAAAATTGAAATATGAGTATCAGCCACGGAAGGCAGCATGTACATGGGCCGAGTAATCGCTCAGGTAGGATAATGTGGATGCTACTTCGCAAAACATGTTTCACGCCTTCACCATTTTTCTTGGATTTTTAATAACAATAAATGTAAAGTGATTCACTAATTATGGGACAACCTAATATTTATCACACAAAGACTGGTTTCGTGCTCGCATCCGGCGTCATTTCTTGAAATGTTGCAAAATCGCGTTATTTACGCTTCAACAGTTCCGCTTTAATTTTCGATTTGATACGACGGGGAGGACGTGGTGTGATTGGTCAGCGGGGCACCTTGTATCTGGGGTTTACTCCTGAATTGTGCGTCGTCCAGGCCAACAAGCCTTCCATCCGCGGTGTCAGTTCGTGATTAATTTCCGGTACTCCAGACTTGTCTTGTAAGGGATAAGAAACACTGACGTTGCACCATCGCGTTTGCTCACGCAATCATTGTATAGTGCCTGCAATTTGCATCAAGGCCAACTACAAATTACAAATGGAAGTGAAATGCGCGTACCCACATCCAAAAGGGATTGCTAACGGACAATATCTTCATACTTTATATTATCACACTGTTTTGCGGGTCTAATAACACATATGGACAGTTTCGAATCCATGAGGAACGCGAAATGAGTTCAGCAGTTGTGTCATCTATACGTACATGTGAAGTGCACGTGCATCACGCCGTCGTCAATGTGTGAAACACCAGGGATCTATAGTCTTATGTGTTATATTTATTTATAGTTATTGCACTCTATGATGCTTTACAATAGGGCAGAAGAGTGGTGCCAGTTCGGTACAAGTCCTGACAAGAATGACAAACAAACAAACATGACCGAATGACAAACAACAACAACAAGCTAAACTTATACAACACAAAAGAAAAGGAAAACAAAACAAAACGTGCCCTACATAGCTTCACGGCTTGCCCGAGAAATGACCCTAGAAACTTAGAGCAGAACTGAATCGGATCTGAAATGGATATTCCTGCATGAGGATTGTGTTGTAGTGCGGTACAATAGTTCGTGCCGCCTACAGGAATCCCAATTTGCTTCGCGATGGGTTAGCCGATTTCTTAACGGAAAAGGAAGCTGGATGAGTATCATTCTTTCTAAATGTTGGCAAGAGAAGAAAGTACTTGTTATGTTCTCAAACGCGTTGGGTGCTCCGCACTACGATGAATACCTCTCCTCCTCCCCCCCCACCTATTGCACTCAAAGGCAACGACCCCTCTAGGTTCAAGAGGGGTTTACAGAAGACGTGGGGGGTGTTGAATGGTACGTCAAAGGAGAAAGAGAAAACTGTCAAGAAGACGCGAAAGGCGGAACCCTTTGTCTGGTCCTTGATCTTCGCTCAAGGAGCGGCTAAAACGACAGACGTATGGACGAGTTTACCGCAACGCGCTCGGTCTCACCACGCCAATCCATGCTCCAGTCGAGTTGCTACAGTTGTGCCGCTGCTGGCCAGCTCGTCCAAATCACCAACTAAACTAGTGGGCGGATCGCTTTTGGGGCGGAGTGCTTTCGAAGTCCTGCTCAGCAACCAGCGCACCTTTCGTCGTGAGGGCGCCACACTTCGCTTTTTCGGCAGCCAAATAGATAACTGCTTCGTGTGGCGCACATAGGTACGTCCCCGATGTCTCCTTCTTTTTCGTAATCCACTTCTTTCTTCCCATCAGGAATTGCTCTATATTTGGACAGAAGAGGAGCACATGACGCATGCAGTGGAATTTCGGCCATGAGCACTTATCTTCCTGGAGGAGTTTGCTGGGAAAAATTCATCTGTCGTACCCAATCATTAAACTAGAACTACTTTATCGAAAGGAAATGGAAATGCACATATACACATTTATCGATCACAAGATGTACCACAATTACATTCTGTATACTCTCGAATCACAATAAGTAATGCATTCAAGCATATAGTTGAGTCACAGGCATATCAAAACACTTCAAGATGTTATGAGTTTTTGAGAAAACGACATATTTAAGACCACATGGAATTTAGACCACATCGTTGAGTTCGCGGAACGATAGCTGTGCAAGAGAACGAGTTGATCCATTGGGTCGAGGCGAATCGGATACCTAAAAATTTCTTTGAATTCGCTCCAGCTGATTTTTCGCGAATGGAACAGCTGCTTTACTTAAGAGTGACGAAGGTCGACCACCTACTATAGAACTTTCATGTTTATTTTATCTTTATTGTCACTTGTTTCACTTGCACTCCATCCCCAAGCCGACTGCGGTCTAATGGTGATATCTGACCGGGAAATGCTATCAACTTCGCATGGAACAATGACTCGAGACTGGGATGAACAGCAATAAAAGGTAATGAAACTACTATAATAATTAACGAAACTCAAAGCACCAAAACTGCTACTTGAATAATTAAAATCATCGTGGAGGCCTGGGGGGGGGGGATGGGAAGGTAAATGTTGATCAGCAAGGAGTGGCGCAGGCGAGCTAATCTAAACCGTATTGCTTTTAGTTTCGTTTTTTCCTGAAACAGTGCCTGTAGGGGCAAACAGGTGGCTTAGTCTACGAGATATGACATTCATTTCTGAGACAGAGGCGATCTGTCGCCAGTTTGGTGCCGCAACTCTATTTTTACTTCATTTCTTGCCAACTTCAACCTCTCAAAGCTTGCCTGGAATAACAGTCGCGTAGGGCAGTCTACATACATCTGTGAATATTTCAGTACTCCACCGATTTGCCTGAGTCTACATTTGAAATTCCATGGGAAGTTGAGCACCTGGTGAGGTCCGCCCACATGTTCTGTGTACATATGAACCCCATAGAATGTCCTGTGTTAATTAGATTTTCCTTCTGTTATTTGTGTAACAACTCCGGGTAATTTTTGAAAAAATTCATTGTGTGCAAAGTTTTGGAGAACATTTTCACCAGCATTTGTTAATTCCACCACTTAAAAAGCTATATGGATACAGAGCCGTTTGATAAAAACACACAAACGTGTTGCTCGTGTTTACACCCGCTTAGCTCCACACAGTCGAATGAGGAATTCACGATTAGAAGAAAGGTCGAAGAAGTGGAAACTGACCTAGTTGAGGGACCCACGGACCTCCCTGAGGGTGCGAACTGACGCGCAATTCGCATGGAAAAATTTGACCTCGGCGACCTATCATGCCTCAAAGCTGGCGGGTCCGGCGATCTCCGCCCACCGATCATCTGATCACTCGCCGTAGTTCAATACGTGGCGAGTGATTAGATAGCTGAGAGAGCGTAGTTGAAGAGGGCACAGCGATGAGAGTCGCATCAATGCTCGAATCAACGGGCAAGGAAGGGGTACCATTTCTCGGGTTCTGGGCCGTTTCTCATGGTTCTTCCTTCTTTCGTGTACCACTCACCATCCCTAGGTTAATTTGAAATGGGTTGCTTTTCATCGTGAATTCGTCCTTTAAGTTGAAAAACGATCTTGCAGAAGAGGGACCTTTCTAAAGAAATAAGTTAAAAATGTCGGAGCACATCTCAATGGCGCGAGTTTTCCTGTTTCTAGAGGAAGATTAGGCTCTTATCTATAGGTTTTTGGGCATCAATGATTTTGAAGCTGAAGGTTTCGGTCTGACCGAGCAAATGTTTCGAAGAACGCACCGCATTAACACTGCTCGCGCTTCTGATGTACTTCCTGACGACATCGCCAACGGTCGCAGCACGTGGTCGTGAGAGAATCACTTCGTGAACGGACGAGATAAAGCAGTCGAAAATGTGGTCACGTGAAGAAACCGTCTGCAAATATGTATGCATCCTTTCTTTCTAAACAATATTCTTTTAGTCAGGTATGTACTGTCCACATTTAAACACATTGATAGGGAAATATTCTTCAGTGTGTGCTTGAGGTCACCACACGCCTTCAATTAAATCAAAGGCAAGCCCCGGGATTAGCCTCAGTAGTAGGAAAGGATACCGTGAGGGAACTTGTGGTGTCCTTCCCTACAGTGCCAGCCCGTCGCACAAAATGCGCGGTTAGGGCGCTAATCGTTAAGGCTGCAACCATCGGCCCTTATTGCAACGCTTCCCACCCACCGCATTGATGTGGAGATCAGCGTGCTCTCTCGAACGGCGTGCTCTCTCGCGTGTTCTTGTCTTCTTTGATCGCTTTGTCTCGCCGTCGTACTACATCCGACCTTACTGGAGGTCAAGGCCTTAATTTTAGCGTTTCCGATGGCTTCTCTTGCTTTCTTTTCCACTTTTAGTTCATTGCAGCTCATCCATCACTATGGTGCGCTCTTATACACCAGTTTTATCCCGGGTTTGTCTTCAAATAGTCAGATCAATGTGGTCCGATCACCGTATCCGATCCTCTTGTGTACGCCTCCCTTACATTTGGCAGAGCTATGAGAAAGTTAATACCTCTGCCCCAAAGACTGCTGCACAGACGCGCAGACTACAACAGAAAATTGAGGCCGTTTGTGTGG